GGAATGGGAGAAGATCTTTAAGTAGGGAAGAAATTTTTTATGCGTGATGTGGACAAAAACTAATCTTAAAACCACTTGAGGGTAGTAACGACCAAGTATGCGTTTAAGTTGATTTTTTAATTTATGCTTTGTTTGCCAGTATGGGGAAGACACGAGTATATGGTAAATTTAGGTACAGTTGGTATCTCAATTGGATTTGTGAGTTTCTTTGTTAGGAAGGTGTTGGTAATGTTTTCTAATAAGTGTTGTGGATAGCAGTTACGTTTCAGGATGTCATGTAAGAAAGAAATTTCAGAGTGTATATTAAGATATGTGGAGCACAGGTTGTAAGCTATGTTTAGTAAGCATGTAACAAGGTTTCGTTTATACGTAAACGGGATAAAGCTATCAAAGTTTGTAAGGAGACCCGTGGACTTTTTAAGAAATATGTACTTAGGTCCCTACGTTATTCACGTGAAATACATATAAAGATCCTTATATTATTTATATGTTATTCACTTTAAATACATACATAGATCCTTATGTTATTCACTTTAAATACATACATAGATCCTTATGTTATTCACTTGAAATACATACATAGATCCTTATCTTATTCACTTGAAATACATACATAGATCTTTATGTTATTCACTTAAAATACATACATAGATCCTTATGTTATTCACTTGAAATACATACATAGATCCTTATCTTATTCACTTGAAATACATACATAGATCCTTATCTTATTCACTTGAAATACATACATAGATCCTTATCTTATTCACTTGAAATACATACATAGATCCTTATGTTATTCACGTGAAATACATACATAGATCCTTATGTTATTCACGTGAAATACATACATAGATCCTTATGTTATTCACTTGAAATAGATACATAGATCCTTATGTTATTCACTTGAAATAGATACATAGATCCTTATGTTATTCACTTGAAATACATACATAGATCCTTCTAATTTTTACCTGAAGTGTATATTTGCATCATTATAGAAAGTGTTTAACTTAAGCCAATCTTTATGTACTTTAAATGCTTAAATGAAATTGACAGTTATGCATTTTAATGGTTAACTCAAGCAACTGTAAAATACGACGATATCCCAAGCTGGTCTCCACATATCATAAAAAACAGGATGTTTGTTCGCGTAGTTCTGTACTATTTGGAGTATATCATTAACATAAATTTTAACATTTTGAAAGCTTGTGGCAAAGCTAAACGGTAGTCATGGTAACAGACTGTATTACGGAGAGTCTTGTAACATTAACAACTGACAGAGAAATTGCTTGAAAAGGAGATAAAGTATTTGTAAATGAATTTTATACACAGTTGTAATGTGTTTTACGCCCGTGATGTTTCAATTAATACAAACTGTTAAAACGGATCAGTGGATTATAAACGCTTTGTTTGGTGAGGTGTTATGGCTGACCTCCCGGAAATAAAATATGGAATGAATCTGTGGTAGATCTTCATATCGATTTTACCTCATATTACGAGGAAGAAGGTTATACACTAGAAACCAATGAGCTGCAGAAGCTTTTGATATAAGAAGAAGAAAAACAAAACAAAAACATTCATGCACAAAATATGTAAAAACTCGAAAGAGATTAGACGTTTGTAAAAATATATTTCTTATAAGTTACAAGACTGTTTCGGCTAAATTCAACTTATTTTCCCGTCTTTAAGGTTGATACAGAGGGCGTTTCGTTGTCAAGTCCACATAACATAAATGAATACTGTGAAAACAGATTAGGGCTACGTCTCAAACTTTAACAAAGTTAAATCTAACAAGTCTATATATTTTTATAGAACTATTAAACAAGGTATGAAAATGAAAGGACATCTTTAAACAGTCTTTCACAGTGGTTAATATTTTAGCAGATATATTTTGTGTGAATAAAAGATAACGTGTAACTATAAAAACGAACTGAAATCTATTTTAGTAATTAACAAATATGAAAAGCGTTGCACATGAAAGACAGAGAAAAGTAATTAGGGCAAAAACTACAAAGTGTAGAAGGTAAACTAAATAAGAGAGGTATCTGAAGAAGTAGGACCCGCACGTATATTTTCTATTTGCTAGCTTCACACAGGTGAAAACATAAACAAATACTGTAAACATTAAGAACAAATATGGGTTCTCAAGCTCATAATGTTCCATTTCTTAAACTCATTATTTGCTGCCAGTTGTTGAGAAGGCATTTGTTTTTAAAGGTATATATATAGTAGAAAAGGTTGTTACAATCAAACTAATAGGGATGCTAAACTAATCTTATATTCTGAAGTTGACATTCCAGCTTCCATAATGGTCACATACCTATATGAACAGCATAATAAAACCTAAGATGTTTAGGTATACAATTAGTACTACTAGTATGAAAACGAAAGACTAAATTTTCTTCCAAATACCAAAAACGCAACAGTAAAAAAATACATCACCAACCCCGCCTAAACCTACATATAAAGGCTAATTATAAATAATATAGGCCAAGTCAGAGTCTTGTAGCAGCCAATTTAATTATCCTATTTTCATACATGTTACAGAAGACGATAAAAGAAACATGGGAAATCCTTGCATTGACAATTTTCTTATTTAAAGTACAACATCCTTCATGAAACGATAAAACATGGAGCTCCACCTCACATTACAAATCCAGTGATAGCATTGCTTCGACAACGTTGTCTGTGTAAGATCATCAGTGATCGTTTTCTGTTCGCTTGACCCCTCAGGTCATCAAGTTATAACCCAGCAGACTTTTGTTATAAACTCTGCCAACAACTGATGCTATTTGACTTGAAGTTGCCAACGTTTCTCGGACGTGTTGCAGGTGATCACTCGCTTGGAACACTTTCCAAGTTAGAAAGTGAACACTGGAAATAATAATTCCTATCAAAACCGCAGGATTATTTTTATCTCATACCTGACTGCTCAACCTGGTGGTCGATTCTTGAAACTTCTTACCTGACTGCTCAACCTGGTGGCCGATTCTTGAAACTTCTTACCTGACTGCTCAACCTAGTGGCCGATTCTTGCAACTATCTGAATTGGCCAACATATCTTATAAAACCACTTTGTTTATAAAATCTTCTTGAAATTACATTGTTCAAGAGCAAGAAACATTTGTTTGAAGAAAAAGGGGGATGAATATTGTTTGGGAAATATCCTTCGCAACTCAAAATAAAAATATTAGAACACGATACAGAAGATAGATGGATTACGTAAGCTGAAAGTATTCAACATTTAACTGATATCTGTAAGCGTTTATGTGATATTCACTTAAGACTCGGTTGACTAAAGGAAAA